CGGGGCAACCGTTGACCACCGGGGCTGACAGGGTTGGAACGGAAAATGAAGGAGGCCCGTCATTAACGTAGTTGGCCATAGAAGCACACTCGGTGTTCCYGAATCGGGGTCTTTYGAGTYGATGTATTTGCTGGCACGCAWCACCTGAAGTCCTCCGGGAAYCGAGATTTGTGAAACCACGGATCTCGACGATTAAGGGCAACTGCAAGTCTGAAAATYGAGCAGCCATGCCACCAGTGCCCTGGAGCGGAGTGGCAGGAAATGTCTAACSAGACCCATGCATATGAATTTCGGATGGCGGCCGACTACCATGACTGCTCGGTTTTCTGATTGAAACGTGAAGGCCGAGGTCGTGAACATAAAGTGCGGATCTCGGCGGACTTGCGGTTGSGGCATTGATTCGAAACGCGCACGGCACACAAACTYCTCACTGTGGTTYGTGCATTGCGAGCATTTTGAATACGTGGCCTSACCGCAAATCCGCCAGAATCCGCACTTCACGTTCACGACCGCGACGTTCGCAATACAACATGAACGTGTGCCTTCTCATAAGCACATAAAGTTCGGATGTMGGCGGACTATCACGACTGCAAGCCATGCTAGTCCRYCGACATCCGAACTTCATGCGCGTATGGTAAGGCACACGTGCATTACCGGATCCCGRCGGAGCTCGACAATCACCGCCATGGAAGTTGGYAGTGAAAAGGCAGACGTGTCGTGCRCGCGACCACACGGTCCGCCGTGCTCGCTGCGCTTTCATGCCAGYCGTGCRGTCAAGAGTACATTGCGGGACACGCTTGAGCGCACACGTGGYGCRTCCACGACCGCAGGCACCGCAATGGACAGTTGTYGAAGAGAAGTCGGASGTATGGTCGCGACGCTTGATCGAGACAGATGCTAGAAGAATGTGGAAATCGATGGCCCAGTTGCACGTTCAGGTCGATGCGGAACGAGGTTCYCGGCGCGGTCTGGCAYGTGGACCGCAGCGCCCCGCGGCACACGTGGCAGATGCRGGCGAGAACCTCGTTCCGCATCGACCGCASTGTGCAAATAGACCATCGTTTCCCATCGACGTCAAAACACGACAATGAACGCACCGATCGTCGCTCAAGAGCAATCGTGATTACGTGATCACGACCGTTCGACCACGGAGATGCGCGCTCTCGCAAATGCGCG